ATTGAAGTGGCCTCGTGTTGATTCATCTCAAGTTCTTCCAAAACTCTTCTTAACCAAATAGCTTGACAAGCACATGAAGTTGATGCCATATACTCTACTTCTGTTGTGGACAAAGTCACAATGGGCTGCTTCTTTGAAGACCATGAAACTACACTATATCCCAACATAAAAACATACGCAGAAGTGCTTTTTTTGTCATCTAGATCTCCAGCTTAATCACTTTCTATAAAGCCTGCGAGATCTGTCTAGTTACCTGTCTTGTAAAATAGTCTAAAATCTATAGTTCCACATAAATACCTGAGAATTCTTTTAGTAGTCTGCAAGTGCAACTCCTTTGGATGCTCCATATATCTGCTAATCAAACTTACACCATGCATTATATCTAGTCTTGTTGTTGTCAGATACATCAAACTTCCAACAATTTGCTTATACAGTTTGCTATCCACAAATCTGCCACCTGGATCTTTCATGAGCTTTACACTTTTCGCAACTAGCATAGTGACAGAATTATAGTTCTTCATTTGAAATATGTCCAAAACTTCTTGCACATATTTTTTCTGACAAACAAAAATTTCAGAATTTGACTGTATTACTTCCAGACCAAGAAAAATGAAACAAACCCAGATTTGTCATATCAAGTTCAAGCTTCATGGACTGCTTAAACTTTTCCAACATGCCAAGATCATTCCTAGTACAAATTAAATCATCAACATATAAGCATACTATAATCACTTTACCTCCATCTCCAAATTTGATGTAAAGTGTATGTTCATAAGGGCCCTTTTGAAAACCTTCCTTCAAAAAATAAGCATCAATTCGACTATACCAAGCTCTAGGTACCTTTGTTTTAGTCCATATAATGCTTTCTTCAATCTATAAACCTTATGCTCAAAACCAGGTTTCACATAACTAGGAGGTTGATCGATAAAGACTTGGTCTTGCAAATCTCCATGCAAGAAGCTCGATTTCTCATCAAGTTGGTAGATCAGCCATGAGTTTTGTGTTGCCAATGCAATCACCAATCTGATGGTAGCCATCCTTGCAACTAGAGCAATAACGTGTGCTTGGTTGATTGTGCCTATAAGAGCTTGGAGAGCATACAAATGTGGAAAATAGAATTTCATTCTTCGAATGTTATTTTGCTTGTAGAGAGTAACAACTTCTGTTGTATTTGGTAAGTTGCTTCCAAGCATTCCTTAACAAATGCCTATACGGGAACTTGGTGTTAGAGAACTGGAGCTTGGCAGCACTTCTAGTGCTTGATAAGGAGGTGAACTGATAAATCCATCGATTTCACCATTATATGACTTGCCTGCAGCATTAAAAACAAATTGAGCAATCAAAGTTAAGCCAATGAAATAGAGAGTTACTGAAATATTATGAAACTGCATTTTGGTAATATAGAATGTAAATTGTCGAGAATGCCTTGCCCTTTGATTCAGTTGCTCAACTCAATATACATCAAGCAAACAAATTGTCCATTTGGCTAATATTAAAAAGGTCAAAGACTTGAGGCAGCAGAAAAGTTACAGCCTTTACACTTTCAGTGCATACAAGGTTTGATAAACCGTCGCTTCAAGAAAATAAACATTAGTTTCATGCATTATAAAGGAACTCAATCAATACCCCAATGAATTACTTCAATTAGACCCTTTCAGATTCATGAAAAGAGAAATTCAACTGAAGAGTGCATGTGAGAGGCCCCTGTTCTTAATTGTACCATATATTGAAAGTAAGGAAATAGAAAGTCCTTAGAAGGTCTTGTTGTGATTACATCGTGTGGTTCTTTATCAAAGAGCTTCATCAAATCAACTCAGGAAACACAAATGAAGGAAAAAAAAATGTAAAAAACCAATAAGACTTGAAGCAATTCAATTTAAAATTTCGTGAAATATATCCTAAAATAAGGAAAAAAAATTAAAAATACTCCATAAATTTTAGGTTCAATTTAAATTAAAGTTCTGTATCTTCATTGTCATTTGTCTCTCAAAAACAATTCAATGAGATATTTACGCTGAATAAGGAAACAAAATATAAGAGAGGACGAGGGAACTACAAGCAGCCCAAATTAAAGAACAGGCCCAATAAGCTTTGCCCCTTCAAATGGAAATAGAAAAGCCATTGGTAGCCCAAACAGAAAAGCCCATATCTTTTAGCTGTCATGTAGCAGTTGGGTGCAGGATCCAGATTAGGCATTTAACTCCTTCGGTCTCAGGATGTAAATAAATTGGATTCCTCACATTGATTGTTGGCCAAGATTTATGTTGTTTAGTGGTAGCATTAATCCTTAGGCTGAATCTATTAACAAATAAATATCATCATATATATTTAGTTCAAGTTCAAGTCTTATTAGTATCAACACCCAATTAAGCATATTTATTCTTTTTGACCTGAAAGTTATGCACTTAAAATTATCTTGAAAGAAATTAGTAAGGGTTCATATTTTAAAGTTCAACTTTTGCCTGATAGGTATTGTGGGCATCGGGGTAGGCTTCAGTTGAGTCTTCGGAGGATGAATTTTGAAAGGTGGAAGCGAAGCTTGCCAGGACAACTGGCATGGTGGCCCCTTCAATTCACTACAAGAAAATTCACATTTAGTGACTAAATTATTGATCATTAAATCTTTATTTTTCATCACAAATTATTATTAGTGATAAAATTTAAACCGTTAATAAAACCTTTGTCACTAATGCTCTTAGTGACAAATTAGACATCTGTCACAGAAAATAATTTTATAGTGATAGAAAAAATTGACATTGTTAACAAGTTATTTATAACAATTTTATTCATCACAAAAAATATTCATCACAAATGTAATTATGATGTAAAATTTAGTCATTAATTATTAAAATTGATATTAAATAAAAAAGATATTTATATAATTATAACACAAATATTTTAACAAAAATTTTG